ATGAAAGGAAGAATGAAGGCATTTCATTCACAAAGCACCCAGGCCACAGAGTACTCTCAGTGTTTGTACTTCATCTACTAGGAAATAGCTTAGTACCTTTGGCTCTTGCTTCTGTACAAACTGAATTCTGCCACAGTCTATGCTTAACACTAAACAAACAAACAAAACAAAAAAAAGGACATGTACCACTCAGCCTTTTCCAGGGACCTTATCCCTACCAGTGTTCCTCCATTTCACAGTCTTGCCTCAGAATCTGTGATAGATTGGTTCCAGGAACCCCTTAGAGAGCAAAATCTATAGATGCTCAAATCTCTTATGTAAAACAGCAGTAATAGTGTTTGCACACTCTCCCATACAGATTAAACCATCACTAGATTATGTGTAACACCCATTACAATGTAAAAGCTATGTAAATTGTTATATTATAGTTGAGAGAATAATGACAAGAAAAACAAGTCTGTACATATTCAGTACGGACACATTTTTTTTTCCCTGAATATTTTCTGTTTGTGTAGAGTTGAACTCATGGATGCAGAACCCACAGATACGGAGGGCTAACTGTACCCCCATATTAGCCTGGGATGAATTAAGCTAAAAGAACAAACCCAGGTCAATCTGTAAAAATTTTAAAAATAAACTCTCTGTCTAGGGAAGTTGCTTTGTTCATAATAATAGAGGCATATGCACGAGAAAAGGGCATTATCATACCATACACGTTAATTAGCAGTACAACCTCTAATCTCTGCTTTTTGAAATGTTCATATTGAGACTTGAGGACTCAAAGGTACCCTCTAGTATGCACCCACTCTCCTGCACCCACTGGTTGAAATTTGTCTTATGAAAAGTCAGCTGAGCCTATTTATGCCACTTACACTTGCTATTCCAGCATTTGCATGTCTTAAGTTATCATTATGTAGCCCCTTGAAATATGTGCTCAAAAAGAAAGAATGATGTTTTCATAAATATGAAGTTGAATGCTTCGAATAGACTCAATAATTTTTTTTATAAAAAACTTGTTGAATTAGTTATGAACAAGACAATTACAAAAGAGAAAGAATCATAAATACCTAGATGGATTCCAACCATCACAAATCTTCTTAGGAAACAGATAGTGGGAATGATGCATTTTGATAAAGCTCGTGCAAAAATCATGAGACAAAATTCCATTTAGGAGATGCATAGTTCATTTTCTTTTCACGTGTAAAATGGGAATAGTAAAACCCACAGAGAGTTTTGAAGATCAGCTGTCATAATTCTTGTGAAGTGTCTTGCCCAGGCCTGGCTCATAGCAAGTGATTTGTCTATTTTCCCTCCTGTTGCGGGTGGAAACACTTTGTAAATGCTGGTATGTAAATGTCAGTTGTTGTTCCAAGGGGCCAGAGAGGAAGCTGCAGGAAGGCAGCCAGAATTGAAGAGCCTGGAAATGAATCCAAAGAGAGAAATTGATCAAGGGTCATTTTCAAATGTTGTCTAACATCAGGACTGAAACTACACAAAGGAAGAAGCCGTGTTAGGCCCAGGCCTGCAGAAACTTGCTTTTTAAATTTAATTTAGGGGCTGAGTTCGGAACTGAGTTGATGGAAGATGAACTGGATCAGGTTCACCAGAAGGAGCAAATGCTTTGGGCCCTGCTGGGTGGGTTGGCGGCAAAGGCTGTGGCTATGACAGTCTGTATTTGGAAGACAAAGTGCAGTTTGCCGCCCTGGGTAAAAAAATAAAAAATAAAAAAACGCAGGGGAGATGGCTAGTGATGCATCAAATGAAATAACTCTCTACAACCACAAGAGGAAAACTTTTAAAAAATGAAGAGTTTGAAAGTAATTTTAACAAATTCCAGTGGGTCAAGGACTCACTCCCCAGCACAGATTGCTGACTGGAGAGGTTTCACTTTCTGCAAACTACTTATTTCCAGAATCTCAATGGGGAACAGATCCTATCCTTTCTTCCTGCTAAGAGCATTTAAGCACTCAGCAGAAGCAGAACGTTCTGGCATGAGCTTCACAAAGTGTAACCTCTGGAGAATGGCAGGCAGGCGGCGCGGGGGACTGAGTACTTTTCGCATAGTGAGTATTACGCAACATCGACCATTTTCAACCGCCAACAGTGCCATCTCTGAGGACAATACAGATCGTACAGATTGTGGGCAGAACAATGACACTTTGATGGTTGTGCCTGGCTTCCTGGTGCAGTGAAGAGGTTAAACCCTGCAAATGCATAAATATGAACAAGTCAGCTGACTGACTGACTGCTGTGCATGACAAGAGGAGAATTGGGAGAAGAAATAACTCTAGAATAACTTCTTTGAAAAATTTCTTTTGTATCTGATTGACTTAGACATTACTTGAGGACTTTTAAAATGCAATCAGAATTACATTAGAAAGTAATGAGAAACACCGAAATACACTATCTGAAAGAAAATACACTCGACCAAATTCTTGTTCTTTATCATCTTTTTATATTTTTCTCTTTCTTTAAATGCCGTCATTTTTGTCTCAACAATGAATGACTTGGCTATACTCTGAGGACTTTCTGTTTTACTTATCCATGGATAGTGAGCTTCTGATGTGGCACCCAACACACACTGGCTCCTTAAATAAATTAAAAACAACAACAACAACAACAAAAACAAAACAAAACAAAACAGGGAACAGAAAAACAAAATCAAAGTCATCCTAAAAGAAAAAAAAAATCTTCAATGAACATGAGAGTTACATGCAAAATCTGAGTAAGTCAGTTTAGAATCCACTTCATTGGGAACACTGATCCTTTGTCAATTTGCATGCTTTGAGAATCTCTTCTCCAAATCTATGTCTTATAGAACCAATTGCTTGCAGACATATTGGTGTAAGTTAATTTGGTTCTTCATTTGGCACCCAAAGAATCTTTAATCCTTACTTATAATGAAGGATGGTGACAGAGACCTAAGTTCTGTCACCTGCAGTTAAGGCCATGCAGTTCAAAGTCAGGAGCAGAGAGATGTCCTTATACCCATATCTTTTAAACATCAGATCTGAACTTAAGGCAAGGCTTTTAAGTAGATGGAATGTTTTTGGCATCTTTTCCTTTCATCTTTTTTGCATGTTGTTTGCCCAAATTCCTATTACTTTCATTTCTTTGTATAGTCCCTCTTTTCACATTCCAAAGTTATTACGCCTCCTCACTTCTTCCTCTCCCAACCCTCCACAAATAGTAGAGAGACCTTCAATCAACTTAGATGTGTTTGCATATTTAGGCCCTTAACACAGAAAAGATGGATTAGTAGAACTTCAAACCATGAAATTATTATTATTTTCATTAATAAATCAATTCAAACAAACATTTAAGTGCTCAAATCATGTTTATTCAAATATTTACCTTTCTTCCTCAAATTCTGAAAATACAGATTTTCTAAATTCTCCGTAGTAGTTTCTTTCCCACCATGGTGATTTCCAAGAGCAAGGGATGGGAGGACCCGATGGGCAGCCGTTTTCACTTGGGAATCACTTTTGTGTCCAATGCTCAGTTTGAGATTATTTTCAAACAGTGTTTCTAGAAGAAAATTGTCTACCTATGAACCTAAAATTAAAGTCGTCAGATTTTCAAAGTGTTAGGACACAGGGAAAGACAGAAATAGGAAGTAAGAAATGTACTGGTGATTCACAGTAGAGTGCCCAAGACTGAGGAGAAGGGCCTTCACACAGGCAAAGGGAAGAGAAAGGTGGTGACATCTTATGGAAAGATTATAAAGCATAGCTCAGAACTGTAATTGAAAAACCAAATCTGACTCATTTAACAGAAGCCAATTGTATAAGTATGAGTGTGTGTGTGTGTGTGTGTGTGTGTGTGTGTGTGTGTTGGGAAGGGGAGGGAGGAGCAAGTGTGTCACTTTTGTTTTCTATTCTCTGGGGCTTGGTTAAACCTTTCCCTGTGAGAAGTAGTCAGCACTTTTCATAGTGTGGTCTAAGGAGCCCTGGATATTCCTGAGACTACTTGACTATTTTAGAGGGTCCATGAGGTCCAAACTATTTTTATACTCATAATGTCATTTAGTGCCAATGTCTGGGCTTGGCACAAGATTCAGGAGGCACCCACACTTTGTAGATTCAAACAGCAATTCTTTATTCCCGCTCTCACACCGCCTCCACACAGGTCCAGGGGCAATCGCGTTCTGCCGTCTCCCGCACAATTCACCTACTCCACGAGGCTATCTCCAAATACCATTTTAATCTCACGAGAACTCAACGGGAACAAGCCGGGAACAAGCAGCAGGAACACCCTAATCCCAGCAATAATCTTCAACTCTAACTTCCCTAAAACCCTTTGTCTTAAACTGGCAACGCCTTAAACTCAAGGAGCCGGTTTCTTCCTCAAACCTGATCAGCTCTAAACCTGGATCCGCCTTGGTCCTTGAGCAAGGTCACCTTATTAAAGCATGCATGCAATGTCCCATCCAATGTCCTCTAAGCAGCATGGGGGATGCTTGGCAAGGAAATTTCGATGCGTCATTCCTACTTGGTAATGGCCCTCAGCAATTTAGTATTACGTGTGTTGAAATGAGAACTAATGGTACAAAAGCAATGAGAGAGGAAATTGATGGTGTCTTAGCACAGATTAAAGCGGGTGGCACCAGATGATACTAGGTGTTATGCTCTTCACAGTCACATATTTTCAGTTAAAGACAAGACTACCAGTTTTATTTAAAAATATCCTTGAAGAAGCAGAAAAATAAATTATCAATTTGATTAAATCTCAACCCTTGTGTATGCCTTTTTAATATTCTGCACGGCAGAATGGCTTGCTTGCATGAAGCACTTCTGTGTACTGAAGGACAATGGCTGTCTCCAGAGAAAGTACTTGTACAGTGGTTTGAGTTACAAGCTGAACTAGTCGTCTTTTTTTTTTTTTTCATGAAGCAATTTTTACTCAAAACTTTGAATTACTAGCAGATAAATTATGATTATTCAGACTTGTATTGGCTGACATTTTATCAAAACTGAGTGAAATGTGCCTGTCTCTTGAAGGAAAACAATTGACAGCATTTGTTGCCAGTGACAAAAAGGAGCTGTCACGCAAGAATGAGAATATTGGAAAATGCGTTTCTAATATGGTGAGTTTTTTCCAGTACTTAAGACTTTCCCAGGAGATGTAGTAATAATAATGGATGCTCTTTTTGATTCAGTACAATGAATTCATTCAAGATTTTCCAGATGACTAATATATGGTATTAGAAAGTCACACATTGGTAAAGGTTCTATTCAAATTGCAAGGGAGAACAGTGGATGTTTAATGTAACAGTATAAAAAGTTCACGGACACAATTTCAGACTCCATATTACAACTAACCTTTAAGAAACAACCACTTGTTGAGTTTCAGTTGTGAAGTCTCAAGATGAATGGATGAGATAAGAAGCTGTTTGAGCACAGCCCTGCTTTCTGATCAAAGTGTATGAAACAGACTTCCCCTGGTCTCCGGAAGTTGGGGAAGGCACTAAGTAGTGCTGCTCACATCTGGGAAGTCTGTAATTTTTTATTTCATCCCTACTCTCCTTTCCTGGGGCAGCTTCTGAAGGTCTAAAGTTGGGAACCTCTTGTGTGTCAAGACAGTATTTCTTCTTCTCAAGTCATAAAAATTATCATGGCCAAGAGACACCAGAAGGTGTGAGGAAGCGAGGGGCCCTTGAAATCAGTGGCAATTGGGAGAAGACTATATGGGGAAGGAGTCCCTGACTGACTAATTCTTCTGGAGATGAGACACACAGCTTTTTTCTCTAGGTTATAATGTCACTGGGGCAAACAAGTGTTTTTGTCTACTATTTAAATTTATGGCATGGGGATGAGGTCGAATATTTACAAATGCCAATTTTCTATGTATTTGAAAGCTTTCTTTGCAATATATCTGTTAGACTAAATTTTAATTAAAATTTACATACCTCTAATAGTAAGCTGATTTATATAGTTTTATTTATATATGACAGCGGAATGCACTCCAATTCTTATTACACATATAGAGGGTTTTATGTTTTTGGCACTTTGTTTCCAGCATCCGAATTTATTTTGGATTGTTTTGACAGTTTACTTTCCAACTAGAAAACATTACAAGAGAAAATAATATATGAATCAGTATAGTAACATTATGTATGAAGAAACATCATGAAGAAAACTTGGAAGAGTTAGGTTTAAACAATTCCCTTATTTGTAGCTGATTTTAAGGTTCCCAATTCCCAGATGCGAAAAGCATCAAGGACTTTCTGTGATACAGTTCCAACATCTTCATTCAAGTCCAACATCCTCACTCAAATGTAAGTACCCATTGTAGTCTTGGGCCTAATGTAAACACTTTTGGATTGTCCACTCACAGTTGTTCAAGCTTTTCAAACTGTCATGCAATTGAAAGTGCTATTGAAATGATCCCTCCTCTAAATACTCTGAATCTTAGATTGTTCTTCTGGAACTTACAATAATCTTAGATTGTACTTCTGGAACTAACTATAAATAACCAAATGACACCCAAATGGATTTGAAAATATCTCCAATAGCCACCAAAGGTTCATGTTGAAAAATTGTAGTCAATGTTTCCTATTCAAGAGGGAGAACCAAAACAATTCCCTTTGGCAGATTTTGCTTTAGCTCATCAATGGCAGAATGTCTTTGCCAAAGAAATATGCAAATTTGTGTTTGATTAAATAAGATGAAAACTTTATTGCTGAGATACAACTTTTTTTTTTCTATTTCTAATTTTATTCATTTCACACTCAGTCAATCAAGCCTAACCAAGACTCCCTGACTTTCAATAGGACCATAACACTCTGAAGCAGCTTCCCAGGGCTGGCTGTGATCTTACGAGTCCAAGATGGAATGGATGGGTGAAATTTCTATCATATTCAGGTATGTGGGTGAAGGTGGAGAAAGGGCTTGGGCGTGGATAAGCACCAGGGAAGAATTCTTCATGACAAACTAGAAAAATCCAGCCTGTCAAAACTACATGTGTTCCTGATTTATCACTATGATTACACAGAGGTTTTGCTTTACAGTATCCTGGATTTTAAATTGAAAGTCAAATATTATTTGCCACAAGAAGCATGAATTGAATGGCTGGAAAACTACTAGCAAGGCCCAGCATGCTGAATCATTATCTCTATGATAATGAGCCCAGGCAGTTGGTGGGTCACTGGGCTCAGTTGCTGCATGGTTGGAGTAGACAGTATGGCTCAGAGTACTGCAAAGTCCACAGATTCTAGGTTGGTTCAAATGGTGTGATAACTAAACCCAGGGATTTCTTTACTTTTTGTGAATAGCAGCACTATTTTAACTTCCCTACTTGTATGCAAACTGTGTGCAAACATAATATAAAATAAAACAGTGCAGCTGAAGAGAAATAAAGTCTGCATTAGGAAACAGCACATGACGAACATACACTAATATTTACTGTGTACTTATCCCGTGCCTGGAACTGTGATAGGTATTTTATATATTTTCTTAGCTAATACAATAGCTTTTATTATCCATATTTTGCAATTGAGGAAACGCAGACATTGAGAAATTAAGCAACTCACAGAATTTCAAACATTTGCAGCAAGGTTAGGAAATAAAATTAACTTTCACAGAGTCTCCACTCTGTGGCTCCACATTATGTTCTCTGTCTTGGACACACGGTTGTGATATTGTAAGAAGTCAGCATTCGGATCATATTTTAAAGGGGAAGCAACTGAGTCTCAGAGATGGTAAAAGAAATGGCACAAGGTAAGAGAAGCCACTCAGTGATAGAATTCAGCTTTTAAAACACAACTTTGCCTGAAAGCAAAGCTCATGGTTCTTCTACTCTCTTGTTCAGGCAGATGATTTGGGAAACTGAAGGGTGAACTGATTTTCAGAGTGGAACGTACACCTTCAAAGCTGTCCTGGGGAATCTCTGTTTCCCTTCATCAATTTACCCACTGCTAGATCCTTTGTGGCCTTTCCCTTAGGACTGCCTCACCTGTCCTGTCAGGCTTTGATGGGATGCAGAACTTTACCTTAACCCATGCAGCAATGGGATAGATTGCAACATCAACTGTACTGGTTTCCCTTGGGTCACCTTGGGAGGCAGCCTGAAGCACTGTTCTGCACTCTTGGCTCACTGCTCAACCACCTTGAATCCCTTTTGGCTACCCACAAACTAAGAAGGCTTCAATACTCATTATTAACTGACCTGGGGTTCTAAAAGGGTTTACGGCCACATGACCAATGCTGGAGAGATGGGCTGTGTGCTTGTCCTGGTTTCATGGAAGCCATTAATTAGAAGGGGTTGGTTGTGAGTCATTTGCCGTGGTGTGCCTTGCAGGAAGCCTTGTGGGAATGTGGCACATGATCACATATTCTCTCATTTTGGTAGCGCTGAGATTTGTCCTGGTTCTAAAAGCTGTAGCAGCATACTTGTGTATGTTGCTGCTTTAAATTCATCAGTTTCCCCCCCGCCCTCAGGAGTTTTTTAAAAATATATTTAAGGACAGGTACAAAGCTCCAGTAAAAAGAAGTAATGAAAAAGATGAATGTTATCTTTGGCTGTCTGTTTACCCTGTTTTTAACAAAACAAATTCAGTAACCAAGGACTCAGAACTTCCTCTATTAGCTTCTTAAAGAGTAGAATAGGAAGCAGAAAACCCCATAGGACAGATTCAGAAAACCCTATGTTCAACATGGATTTCCGCACTTCCTGGCTTGGCTGACTTTGAATAACTTAATAACTCCCCTGAAAGTCTATTCCTTTATCTGCAAAGAAATATCCTTATCTCCATCTCAAAGGTTAAGAATTAACAGAACACATCAAATGCGGAAATAGCTAGCAAAAGACTTATATTAACAGCTTGATGAAATCTTCTCTTGTTTCTTTTATGAAATCTTTCCTTGTTAGCTGTGTGATCCTAGGCAAGTTATTTAACCTTTCTGAGTTTCATATTCCTCTTCTATAAGACTGAAAACAATACTTACTATATACAATAGCTGTGTGGATTCTATGACATGACATAGTAAAGCACCTGGCTGGCATTGTTGGCTGGCACTGCTTCATGGCAGCTTTTATTATTACAAAGCCTTTCCAGGTTCAAGTGGAAAGAGCTCAGGTATTACTAAAGTAACCATGTAATCCTTGTTGCTCTGGACAGAAGTTATTTATACCAGGTTCTAGCAAAATCACTAGTAGCACATTCTTTACTCTCAAAAGGTTCCAAATGAATTCTGTGGTCACTCTGAATATATGGGCAGCAGTGATATGTGGGCAGCAGGCTGGCCTGGTGAGGACAGAATGTAATTCCAGTTCCTTTCTTCCGATAAGTAATGTTTGTCTCATTCTTCCAATGGGGCAGTTCGTTATAACTAGTTAGCTATTATTAGGTCACTGTTTATTATTTTTAAGCAGATAAGTATCTGCATATCAGAAAATACATGAGCAGAGTTTTGGGTAAGGTAGTTGCTTATTTATTTGCTCATTTTCTGCTTAGTAGCATCCATTTTTCAAGAGTACAGGGTTTCCTTGTTCCCTGTGACCATCGCAAGTTACCGCCTAGGTTGGCTCCTAGTGGTGACCCTTTAAGTGGCTGCCTGCACAGCTTTCTGCACATAATGGTGCCTCTCACTCCCAGCAAGCACACCTTCTCTTAATTGTACTGCTGGAATCTTGCTGCTACACCAGAGAACTTTTGGATAGGAAAAACAGTGGTGGCTAATTTATACCTTATGAGCTCAACCAGCTCTGCTGTCTCACTTTGGATGCATACCACAGGTACAGGAAAATCTGGGTCCTTGTTTTAGGGGGAAGGTATAGGGTAGAAAGAATTATCTTCCTGAATCTTCCCTTGACACTGTCTGTCGTCTCCCTGACTGTTGTCTCCAAATCTATCATATCCCATGTCTTCTTCATTTATGGAGAAGCAAACAAGAAGCACTGTTAGTTTTCTCTGCCTTTGGGAGCTACCAAATCTTGTAGAGCTAGACGCAACAGGAGTGGCGATATTTCCACAAACCCTGACTCTCCTCTTTTTCTTTTCAACCAACTTCTTCCTCAGGAGAGGAAAGAGAAATCAAGTGTCTTGGGACCAATTTTCATTTACAATGGTTGTTGTCTCACTCTTACCTATTTAGTTCATCCTAGTTTGAATGAATTAACTAGATGGTAATTGCATGTGGGGCAAGGCTGGAGAAGGTGATTTAGCCTTTGATCCAGTTCTTTTGGTCATCTTTTCTAGCAGCCACTGTGTGGAGCTAGTGGGGGAAGAAAAAGGTACTCCGTTATTTCATGTGATTACCTTGAGTATCTATACTCAGATTACTGTGATATAGGTAACTCGTCCCTTCTTGAATTTCTCCAGCACAGTAGACATCAGGAATATATAGTTTCACCAGCCCTTTTTATTTTTTGAGACAGGGTCTTATTAAGTTGTTGAGGCTAGCTTCAAATTTGAGATCCTTTTGCGTCAACCCCCAGAGGTACTGAGATTGCAGGCATATGTCATCATGTCCAGTGAAAAGTTAATGTTTTGAAAACATTATGTAAGAATGTTCAGAGGTGAAATGATTAGATTATGAGAGCTGTAGCCTCATTTTAAGACAATGGACTCACCCACATTTGTGGTTGGAGGATAGAATTGTCCTGGAAATAAGTCAATATTTCCATCTCCATTGCCTCCAAATTCTGATAGACTTCCTGAGCCTTATCTTCTAGATCATTCATTTGGCCTATGCTTTTATTCAGTCTTCTTGTTTGGTTTTCATATCAGACGTTAAATGTTATAGAATTATTTCTGACTCTCTGGTTCTAAGCTTTTTAGAGCCTCCCATTTTTATTGTTGCTTTAATGAAAGTTCTTTCTTCAGTTTTTTTCTTTTCTTCTTTTCTGTTTCCTGAATTGCCTTTTTTCCCTCCAAGCAGTTCTTATTAATCTTGCTACTTCTCTTTCATGCTGTTGATTTTCCTCAACTATCTGGTACTCATCGTTTGTCCATTCATACTATGATCAGTGTGGGTAGCTAGCAAGTGTTTCTTCTGCAACTGTGTTGATTGGTTTCCCATAAGGCCCTGTTATATTTTGGATATGAGCTGTCTCTCTAAAATTCCTGTTATTGCAGGACTATTCAGAAATAAAATGATTGGACTATGAGACTGTGACTTAGTCAGTCCATCCTAGGCTGAATGGATTAACTAGGTGGTAATTGCATGTAGGTCAAGGCTGCAGAAGGTGAGTTTCTGGGAGTTAGCCCCAGAAGGGTTCCCTATGGGCCCTTCCTCCTCACTTTCTCTCCTTCCTTTCTGGATGCCATGAGGGTAGCAGCTTCCCTCTACAATGCTCTTCCCCCAAGATGTGCTATTTTACCTTGGGCCCAGAGCAATGGTGTGGGTCATCTATGGACTGGGACCTCTGAAACCATGAGCCCCAATTAAACTTCTCCTCCTCTAAGTTATTCTTGTTGGGTATTTTGGTCACAGCAATACAAAAGCTGACTAAAACAACTTGATAAGGACCATTTTTTTTTTTTTTGTCCTGGGTACTCCATTTAATGGATTTGACTTTTTTTTTTAAATGAAACTGAGACAAATATTATTTTAATTTTTGTGAGGTCCAAATTAATATTACTCTGTCTCATCTCATGTCACTTTGTTCCTTCCACATTTGCTAACTAGGAAGTCAGGGAAGAGTGTGAAGCTTTGAGATCCAAACCCTGAAATATCACCGATACTTAGAAAAGCCCTTTTGTGTAAGCACCACAAAACGGAGTATGCGCTTACCTCATCACATGCTCATGCTCACCCTTCACGCATTTTCTATGACTAGGGTAAAACTTGTCATGACGGAGTGAAATTCAATCCTATATAAAATAAGACTGATTAAGAAACCAATATGGATGAAGTAAACACCATATTTTATTTATTTTTCAAATCTCAGATTTTTTTCTATTCACATTTAAACACTTCTCTTGGATTTGCTCTCAACTAGTATTGGAATCAATTTAAACACCCAATCCACAGTGTAACCACAGAATAGGCCAATGTCTGATATTACAGCAAATACATATGAAATAGGTCCCCAGTGAAAAAACTTATTAACATTTAAAAAGAACTGGATCCATTTATACTTTGACTATAGCGTCAACGCCAGCTGAGCAGAACTCACTGTCTGTCATCCCCAACCTTTTCCCCTCTTGTGCATTTACTGAAGTCCTTAAATATCAGCAGCACACTGAAAGTTCTCGCATAAATGCACCAAATGAAATCCCATCTTTAGCTTCAGCCCTCCCAACCCATTTTCCCCCATGTTCAAATAACATTGAGGGGCTAATTTTCAGTAAATTGTCAAAAGGAAAGGTGACAGTCCATTTAACAGTCAGCTAGTTGCTAATTAGTACTCAACTAAAATGCATCAAAATTTGAGCACTCCCAATTGAACACTTTCAAAGATAAGCATTCTACTAATTTAACTCCGCTGTGGGTTGAGTCCTGATTGAGTTCTTTCACAGAAGGACAAGCCATGTTCCAGTGCTTTCCATCATTGATTTTTTTTTTTTAACCCAAAGGTAAAATTATAGCCTACCTAAGTATGTCATGTTTTTTTGTTTGTTTGTCTTTCAATTAATGCTGTGTGGGGTTTAGCCTATGAGAGTGTAAGGTCATTACACTCATGATACAGGAATTTTAAAAGACTGTCTTGTACCTTTTCACACCTTCATAGTTAAAGTAAGACATGTTGGGGAGGTATAGGAAGATATAAATATGAGAAATACATAAATGTTTTAAGAAGTGAATCACAAAGGTGGCAATTTGTCATGAAGAAGCTAAACTTGGCTTGATCTTTCCTTTCAGATGCTGGTACATTCAGCTTAGGAACTGGATCTGTCATGAGAATGATGCACAGCACTCTTCAGAACTTGATCAGAACTTGAAGCCATTTTATTCCAATGAGTTGAAGTAGTACTTTCCCCAGAATTCAATCCACACAAAAGAAAAAAAAAAGACATAAAGGGGGTAGCATTTTTAAGCACTTACCATGAAACACTTTTCATATAAGTTATATATAGAAACAACCTTGACCCAGAGGTGATGGTTCACCTGGAAGCCTGGATTTGCATCCTATTTTCTGCTCCCAAATCCCATGCTCTTTCTACCTGGCACACTGAACTTTCTAATTCTTATTGAGATGAAACTCAAAAGCACTAATGGCGTCTTGGAAGAAAATAGAGTTGTCCTATTAAAAAAAGAAAGAAAAAGAAAATGGGTCAAAATATCTTCTAGAATCACTGAATTGTTACTGTTGAAAGGTTTTGAGAAAGGTATGAAGGGGTAAGGCCTGAAGTAGCTTTAATGAGGCTAAAGTGACTGTAAATTTCATATGCCATAAAAAGGGTATCTGAGCTGAGAACCGTACATCTTGCTTCCAGTTGTAGTTCTTTTATGCCACGGTTCCCATGTCAACATGGTGGGTGAAGCTGAGAAGGCTGGGATTTTTGGAGAGTTAACAAAACCAACGGTATTTTAGGAAAGTGAGATGAAGTTTCTTAAGCACCTCCCAGTTACTAGAATAGGTCCTTGGGGAGGAAGATGTCAAATATTTAAGAGCAAAGTCTTTGTAGACCACGAAAAGAACCAATCTTTATTACTTGGTCAATTTCCTATTTTCTGATTTTGACTCTGTTGCTTTGGGATAGAGAAGAAAAGAAAATAGAATCTTGGAAGAAATAGAATTTAAATAATATGAGCTCACAGCTTCCTTTTCCTTGATTCTACTTTTCTCCCTCAGAAAAGATTTCTCTAGATCCAATAGTCAGGAAATCTAGATTCTACAGAGCTCTGTAGATATTGAATAAACTCCTTTACTTATTTGTGGTTATGCTTTTCATCTATTTAATAAATGATCTCAACTCTATTCTGTCTATTCAGTTATAAACTGTTGTGATTTTCCAATTCTTATTTCTTATTAGAATATTCTACTACAGAGGACAATGTAGGACCTAGTCCACGGTTGACATTCAATGAAAAAAACAGGTAAATGACTAACAATCTTTTTTGTGAGATTTGATTACCTTTTGTGAATTTCCATCTGCAGGTCTAACATGGTGCATAACATAGAGAAGGTTCAAATACTTGTTGATTAACTCCTGACTCCAAATAGCTTGTGTATAGTTTTTTATAAATATTCTATGGGTATCATTAACATAATGACTCTTCCTTTTATATGACTTGACCATTTAGGCCCCTAGTCTATCATGACTCTCTCTTTTAGATACCTACCTAAAAGATACCTTCTTTTAGGTAGGTATCTAAAAGAAATACATGTCCCTTTGCCTCAAAAGAGGTGTATAAAAATGCTCTTAGCATATTACTCATAGTAGTTCCTATTTAAATCTCATTAACAATAGAAAGGAAAATTGTGGTATAGTCATGTAGTATAATATGATAGCCAAGAGATGAACAAACTACAATTACAAAGACAAGACCATCATCACTGTGGTGTTGAATGATAGAAAACAGATACCAGAAAATCCATGGTGCTTGATTCCATTTATATAAAGATCAGAAAGAAGTACAACCAACAATAGAATTTATAAATGTTTGCTTACATGAAACATCCTCAAAGCAAAGTAAGAAAAGGATTGTCACATGTGAGGTTAATGTTCAGGGGAGAGTAGGCGGTTTTGAGGGACAGAACTGCAGAGGCCTTCTGAAGTCCTGGCAATGTTGTTTTATGATGTGGACTGAGTTGGAGAGGAGTTTGCCATTATCTATACCTTTCTGTAATGTATGTGAGATTTCAGAATGAAAACTTCTTTTTCTTTTGCTTTTCAGAAGTGTATGTAAAATTCCAGGCCCCTGAGTAAGTGCTGCATACATGGTAGCTGCCTAATAAGCATTCCATCTCCTTCTTTTTCCCCTGATTAGCTCTGCACACCTAATCTGAAAAAGCAATGAATAATCTTAGTGTGAATGCCCAACTCAGACATCCATTCCTGGAAGAAAAGGTGCCTTGAGCATTAGCAGATTGCACAGGCAAAAGGTGTTCATTCTTGCCTCATCTGATTGCCTCTTACGCCAGCATCAGAGTTGTCACACGGGTGACTCTGCGTTTCAGAGCCAGTGAGCACCCTGACGCTTCGTAATTACTGAAACACATGTGCTAAGTCACTTTTTGCTAAGCCACGATGAGAATTCTCAGTGCTCAATCGCCCTCAAAATTTCTCATCTCTTCCCTGGGGTGAGGTGCTTTGGTTTAGCAGCTGCACATGGGGAATGCATTTAAATCATTTAAGGTCTGGAGTTCACTATCTCCTAAAAGCAGTCTCTTTTCTTTTGGCATTCCTCAGGCACACCTGGATTTTTTTTTTTTTAATACTTCAAAGTGAGGAATATCCTTCCAAGTGAGGAAACCTTTGGAAATACATTAACTCTTTGCATGCACAGGTGTATTTCCTGGTGCTTTCTGTCTGCCTCTTCCTGGACTGTTAATCACTCCTTGGCAGTAGCTCTTTTAAGTCATTAGTTATCCACTTCACATTTTAGCAGCAAAAGCAGTAATACAGTAAGTCAGGTGTGTGATGAGCTAAAGGTCAAAAGAAGTAGTAGTGAAAAGTGCACGAAAAAGTTAAGGCTAATTTTACTTTTAGATAATGCATCCTCTGCATTACAGCCCAGGCCCTCCCCTTGCATTCCCTAGTTACTGAATTGCTTGTACAGGTGGCTGAGCTTTCTCTGAAACAATTAGAATAATGCCTTAGGTTGTAAATTTTCTTAGAATACCATCACATTGAAAACTTAACTCTGGGTTATAGATGAGAAATATCAGAACCTTTCCTAAAAGCTAGGTTTTTTGTTGGTTTGTTTATCAAGAGGTGAGAGAGAATCATTGATGGTATTTGTGGCTGAAGCAGAAAGGAGATACTTTGATGTCCCAAACAAATATCATCATTTAATCATACCAAAGCCTAAATTCTGTGGTTAATTCTAGACCTTCCCATTACCTTAGCTGTGCTGGAAATACAAGAGATCCATTTCAGTTAGCTTAAAATTAAAACAGGAATTTGGGAAAATGGAAGGGGTTTTGGAACAACAGAGACACAAGATTGAATCAGGTTTAGGCTTTTATATTTTATGTCCCCCTCCCTCCTGCCCCCCATAAAATATTGTATAGATGTGAAAGAATAAGCTTCATGTGTAATTTTCCATGTTAGGTGTGAATGACTTCTCATTGAAATGTATTTTGATAAGTATCTTCAAGCACCCACTGTGGGTCAGGTACACATTGTTATTTTTTAGGGACTTCTAAAATGGGTGGATGAGTCTTAGTCACTGCCTTGCATCATTAATTACTATGCCTTAAGTACCTAGGAGCTGTGAGATTGTGCAGTACCAGACACTGCAGGCTTGCGGGGAATTTGGATGGAGACTGTCAGAAAACACAGAGGAGGCTGGACTCTCCCCAAAGTGAATCTGCAGGCTTAGTTCCCAGGTTAGACAGAGATCTCATTCATCTCTGGTGACGCTGTTGGAGATAATTTGCTAGTCACTGAGACCCCCCTCCTCTATATTTTTCCCACAGAACCATCTGCAGCTGGTGAAAAATGACCCACTACAGCTGGTGAACATTTCCCTACCTCTTTTCCTCTGACTTCACACAGCTGTGACAGACGGTGTCCCAGCAGGGTCTGCTCAGCTCAGCTGCCAACCGGGAGCGCCATCATGATGTTCCTGACTTCAGATCTGGCGCATGGATTCTGTTTGTTCTAGCCAGGCCTCACTCACCCTCAGGAACTGCGCACCATTAGAACTTGGCAATAAACGTTGTTGACTAAAGGACTGGAGAATCTTTTATCATTAATGTCATAAGTCCAAAAAAAGGCATGAGGGATCACCCAAGTCAAGGCCTTTGTATTTTAGACAGAGGGACTCTCTCAGGTGCAGAAATTCAAGGTTATATATTCCTCAGTGAGGAATTAAGACTAGGGCCCAGGTCCCTGGTCATGATCTTCCATTCCAAGTCATTCTTCACTTTATTAAGTGTTTTCCTGAATTCATGTGGAACATGCTAAGGAAAAAGGTATCCACTTTTTGGAAACTTTTGGCTTCATACTCCAGTCTGAGAAGAATGTTTATGGTGGCTACTCTCCTTGACCTTTGGTCTACTTTTTTAAGAATGTTCTTAGGCTTCTTTAGATATGCATGCCGATTTATGTTGTGTTTCTGAGCAGAATATTCCAGAATAAGTACCAGAGACCACAAGAAGTAATAGTAACCGTTTGGGATTTAGGAACTATTTTGCCTGAAATGGAATTTCAGTTTACCATTCACTAGTATTATGATCTTTTCCTATCTTTAAAGGAGTAATGGTTTAAACTTGGATGAAGTCCAGTTTATCATATCATTATTTTAGTGGTTTTGTGAGAAATATTCGCATAACCCAAGGTCACAAAAGTTTTCTTTTTTGTTTTATTTTGAAAGTTGAACAGTTTTAGCTTTTGTGTTTTTGTAGGTTATCCTTTTGGAGTTAAAATATGTGTAAGGATGTAAGGACTAAGGATTTTTTTTTTCCTACAGATATACAGGTATGTAAGAGCCATTTGTTGAAAAGAATATATTTTTTTATTTACTGAATTGCCTTGACACTTTTTAAAAAATCTGTTGACCATGAATGTATTTATTTATGTTTCATTCTCTACTTATACAAATGCCACATTTGCCATATTGCAGCTGGTAAAAAATGACCCACTGTGGTAAAAAGTTTTGAAAGTAAATAAAGTAAGTGTTTTAGTCTTATTCAAGAGTTTATGATTGTTTGGTTTATTTTAGGTCATTTCCATTTTTGTATAAAATTTAAAATTTCTTATCAATTTACATTCAATCTATGTATCCAACTTGTGAATGACCATATTAATCTTCTGAACCATGAACATGGAATCTCTCTCATTTTATTTTGATCTTCTTTAATTTTCATTTATAGTGTTTTGTAGTTTTGGGTGCCCAGTTCTTGCATATTTCTGTTAAAGTTATCACTAATTATTTTTAATGCTATTTCAATGGAGTTTTTTTTTTGAAGTTCATTTCTAATGTATCACTTCTCATATGTAAAACTTAAGCTGATTTTTGCTATGTTGAGCCTGTATCCCAAGACCACTTATTAGTTTTGGTACATTTTATTTTGTAGATTCCTTTAGGTTTTCTTTTAAGATGACCATGTCCACTCTACAGTTTTATTTCATTCTTTCCAATCTTTATGCGTTTTATTAGTTTTATTAATTTTTTTATGAACTTATTGAGTTGGCTAGGGATTTTGGTTCAATATTATCAAAAAGTAGGGAAGAATAGACATCTTGTTTGTCCCTGATCTTGGCTAATAATCACTGATCCTTACACATTTGAATATGATATTAGCTGCATATTTTCATAAATATCTTTGAACAAGTGTAGAAACTTTTCTCCTATTCCTAGTTTTCAGAGTTTTTTAATCATAACTTGTTTCAAAGGCCAACAACATCATCTTTATATAGTGAAATATATTGATTGATTTTTAAATGTTAAACCAACCTAGCCATTCCTGGAATGACTCACTCTTGGGGATACACACACACACACACACATATATATATATATATATATACACATATATTATTCAATATATTTTTATATATTGTATTTGGTTTGTTAAATTCTGTTCAAATTTTTGCATTCATTTTTCAGAATGGATGTTGATTTATAGTTACATTCTCTTGTGATGTTTTTGTCTAATTTTGTTATCTGAATGGTCCTTGAATTTGTAAAACTAAGATCTAAAGGGATTTGGGAATTAGTCTTTCCTACATTATTTTCTGAAAACATGTGCATAGAATTAGTATGATTTTTTAAAAATGTGTTATAGCATCCACCAGTGGAGCCATTCAGTCCTGGAGATACCTCTGTGGGAAGATTTTTAAATTAAAAATTCAATCTTTGATCGATATAGAGGATTCAGGTCTTCCTATTTTTTGAGTTAAATTTGGTATTTTCTGATTATAAGGGAATTGTTCATTTTATATAGAACATTAAATGTAAATAGTCCCTGTTTATCTTAGGGGATCTGTTCCAAGACCCTCAGAAGATGCCTGAAACTATGGATCAAACCAAATCCTATATGTAATAAGACTTTTCATATATATATATATATGTTTAATTTATAAATTAAACACAGAATGAAATTAACAATAATTCTACTACTAATAAAATAGTTTTAACAATATACCATAATAAAAGATTATGAATGCAGTCCCTATTACCATAAATTATGCAGTCAAGTTTCTCACATTTGATGAAATTGCAGGGGTCAGCACATCCTGAGTGCTATGGATAAGCCTTGCCCTGGGAAATCCACCTTCGTGATCATAGTACCTCCCTTGCCAGGTAAGTATATCTTTTTTTAATGAATTACTGAAACCTGGATATTTTCAGCAAATGACCTAATTTGGATTTGAATCTAATTGTTTCTTGATCTCTTTTAGTACTTCACAGTATAATAACTTTAAAGAGTGGAAATAGTTAAACTTTGCTCTTTACAAGTGATTTCTGGATAAACTAATTAGTTATCACCTAGCAGAGATGTTAATTTCGGTGTTCTGTCATTGAATGAGCTAACTAGAATTGAAGAAAAGAATTTAAGTTGTTTGTGGAATTGCAGAAAACATTAAGAGGTTGGCTGCAAGATATGCAAGAGTAGGCTGTCTCTGTATAACGGTAGCTGGACCCCTGTCCGCATCTCCATCTTAGGCTACTTCCCTCATTCAAATGGCTCAGCTGGGTCATCTGAATTCAGTGAAGAATGCCATTTAGGTGTTGGGACTTCTTTTCTAGAACATGACATGTTGATAGTTGAAGAGAATTTCTTCTAGGATTAAGCCTCAATCCCCTAGAATTAAGGTTAAGATTTTTGGAGTATATAATTATGGGTATTACACTAAAATATCTCTACTACTGCCTGTGTGATGATGGTGAAGATCCTTGACTTCCCTGAGCTTCAGTTTCCTCTTTCATAAAATGGGACAATACTGTTATTTAAAAGTTTCTGATCTAGTGTACATATTGGTGGTACAATCATCAAAATTCCTCTTTTATTGTAGAAGTTCAACTTTAATTTCCATATGGTCTGTTTTTATAGTTACCTGTGTTCTCTCTCTAGGTCAGTCTTCAGTGGTACCTTTACCATAGTAGACACAGAAGTGAACTGCATAGAAGCAGATGTTTGAGTACACTAGATAATAGTGTTTCCGGAAACCACTGGAGATCTGACAGTGTAGGAAGGTGTCAGGGGTCAGAGCAGGGGGTCTGGAGTCAGCTTTGGAAACGCCTCTGTGATTTACTATTTCTGTGACTTTGCAGAATTTATTTACTCTCTCGGTGCCGCAGATACCTTATCTTTAAATTGAGGATGATATGATTATCTTCCTTATTAGGTTGTTAGAGGGATTAAATAAATTTCATAGGCCGTAAAGTGGCTATATCAGCACTAGGCACATTGTAAGATGGTGCAATTGTTAGAGATGATGGTAATGATATCATCTCTATTGTCTGACTATAGTTTTTTTATTTTTTCCCGTAACTATTTCAATGTTGAAAGTTGGTTTTCTTTTCAACAAATTACATATGTGAGAAAGGAATAAGAGAAATCTGAGTGACATTTTATAGAAATCCTTGAGTCTGTTGGCAGGCAAGACTTAAGAATGAAAAAAGGAAGTGGCATGTACTAGCAGACTGGACAGGTCTGTGCTAACTGTGGGAGAGCATAGCCACTAGCCATGAGTACAGAAATAGGATTGGGTAAAGCTGCTATATTTGAGACAGCTTTACTATTAGTCAAGAAACCCTACCAAGAGGAGAGATAAATGGTCTTTCTTTGCTGGACCTCTTACTACCTCCAAAGAACTGAGAAATGAGGTAAAACGGCTGATAGGCTTTTCTTCATCCCAGAGGAGTTGAGTTTCTTACTCAGCCTGAAGGTCTTGGGCCTCATTCAGTGACTGGCCTTGAGACCCAAGAGGAAACCCAAGTCAACAATGCCCCAGTGGAGGTGTCTACAGCACAGCCAAGGGCCCTCACAGAGTAGGTGCTCTAATGAGCCTTACAGAGCCACAAATCCTCTCTGAGACTTGGAGGGAAGTCAGAAACCTACGTGGGAATTAATGAACCAAGACAAACCTCACAGTGGCAGGTTTAAGTCAGAGGCCAGGGCACAGAAATCAGCCGCAGAATTCTGGGAATAAAAAATTTATGGTAATCCTTGGTGAATAGAAATTGAAGCAGAGAATGTTAGACGTTATCTAACCTAAGTTGTCAACAATCCAGGGTTGCTCAAATTGTGCTCAAATTGGGTGTTCACAGTGACTCAGATCTTAGTCTGAAGATACAGTGCTATATCATTGCAAATTGCCTTCAAATCTTATTTTCTTTTAGATTTGGAAGCAAATGTAAAAATTCTACCTACAGTTGTTCATATTGTTTAGTGGAGATTTTCTTTCCTTTTCCTTTTGTTGGATAGGAGCTAAATTAAATATCTGTAGGAAAATATTTTTCAAAAATCTACAAGTTAGGCTTTCATGGAGAGGAAACTTGATTACTTAGAAGGACCATCTGCAGTGGGCTTACTTCCATTTGGGAAAAAAAAAAGTATTCAAGATATGTTTTGGATGAGGTGAGAATAGATGTGGTAGGAAAAGCAGCAGCCTATTGTGTAGAATAATTTTCTGCTTTATCCTTGGTACTGCCTTATCCTTGTTACTCAAGTTTTATCAGAAAACTGAGGATGAAGTGTTGTATCAAGATTTCTCTGGCAGTGTTGTGGGCAGAATAGGTGGGGCAGCTGATGTTGCAGCCATTCATGTGGCACTTGGTATGGCTACTCTTTCAGGTTGGTCGTGCCTTCTGAGCATATTGGAGTGAAGAAAGGTGTATTCACTTATGGTGCTGCCAATAGACAGGATCTATGGCTGCCCTTGGCTCTATTCACCCTTCCCTTGGGTAGAATTGCCAGGCTATTTTATCTGAAATTCTGTGAAGAAGAGCCCACATACACATTAGAATGAACCAGAGAACACGGGCAAAAATCATTTAAAATAGGGACCCTCTTTTCCACTGCAGACTCAAATAGAAATTTAATAACTATAAAATGTTACTGTCATTTTACAGTCACAGAAGGAAAAATAGTTTTCAGACATTTTGTCCTTTGCTTATTTATTTTTATTATTTTAATTGGTGCATTGTAAGTATACATTAGTGGGTTTCATTATGCTATATTTGTACATGCACATAATACAATTTGATCAATATAATTTTCTATTCATTTCCTTTCACTTCTCCATCCTCCTGATCTTCTTGATCTATTCGGCTGGTCTCTAGAAGGAAAGATTTAAAAATATATAATACTGCTAAGCTGATCAAATATTTGGAGCAAAAATTAGTTTCTTTTTGTTGTTTTTCTTTTTGGAGATGGGTATTGCTGTATTTCCCAGGCTGAGCTTGAACTCACAATTCCCCCAACCTCATCCTCCCTTGTAGCCAAGATTTCAGGCATATGTCACTGAGTCCACTAAATACTGTTATCTATGTTAGTCACTATACCAAAAATTAATTTCAAGGGAATTAAATAATCACTGCCATTAGCTTAAATGTTTACTTGGCGTCCTGTGCATATTTTTAATATTTACAACAACTTTTAGAAGTAGGTATTATCCCAACTTAAGAATAAAGACAAACTGTGTCTCAGAATAGGAGTTGGCCTGACTTAGTGAATAAGGAGCAGGT